TGTATATGATGTGTGTAGGTGAGCTTCTGCATAATGCATTTAGGGAGTGATTGGTGAGAGGGAAGGTGAATTTGCCTGGATACACATAGGTTGTTTTTGTCAGAAGCTATATGCCAGTAGGGTCGGTATCTGGATGGGTCGGTAGGTTTAAGTTAACTAGGTGGGTAGGGTTATGTGAATAGGAAGGTGGATGATGGGTGGGGTAAAGCAGTAAGGTTACAGGAGGAGGAAGTAAAGTTCAGGTAAATTTAGCTGTAGATCTTTATGCCCTCTGCTAGTTCCACCTTAGCTCAACACAATTTACGGGTAACAGATTAATTTAAAGTGCATGCCGAGAATCCCTGCATCCTGTTTGCAATTAAATTTGTATTTTAGCACTATATGTACTGGTGGCATTATGGCCATACTTTATATATCGATCTTAATTTGACAAAAACATCACTTTGCTGTCTGTATAGTACACTTTGGTAACACATCCTTCCAAAACTATATTTTTAAATTTAGATGGTAACACATTATTGGAAAAAAAAAAATTCTCATTTTGATTCTATAGCAGTTAAATCCTTTTTGAAATCCAAAACAGTATGCAGCACAGGAATGAGATCTAATTTCTTCCAGACAGTAAGTTCTGAAGCATGCTTTGATGATCTTTGCTTTTTTCTTCCCTAATGTGGAATCTGGAACAAATTCTGTTCTCGCACATTATTGTACAAATTGCTTAAAGTTAAAAATGTATGTTATGTAAACCATTAGGGGGCAATTCACTAAGCAATGATTTGTAATGAAATATCAATCTTCTTTTTAAGAATTTATCTAGTTAACAGTAAGTTAAGGTTAACTGAAAATAAAGTTTTAAAATTTTGGCAAAAATACCTTATTTAGAAACATTCTCCAAATCAATGACAGGTTCAAATTGGCTATTTTTGCCTTAATGTTGCATTCCAGCAGTTTCAGTTCACCTAATTTCCCTGTTGATTGAACAAACCCTATATTAGAAATAGTGAAGTTAGTGTAACTAACAAATTTTTCTAACTCAGCTGTTTTTGCCAAAATTTTTGTAGCATTGTCTCTGCATTCATTCAATATATCTTGTTGTCAATCTGAGTGCCACAGTGTTATCCAGAGTTTGATATACAAGACAAGGCCTAAAACAGCAATGTATTTGTGATTTGTGATGTTTAGATCAGTGCAGGAAGCTAAGATGTAAACAAAAAGGAAACAGCAGCAAGTTTACATTTATCTCAATCTCTTGTTTACTAGTACTCCCCACTAATAAAACATAGAAGGAGTAAACCTGAATGTTAGTTAAATCCGAACCAAAGGAATGCGGTAGCAAACAGGAAAGGAGGCCTTTGCCAGATGTATTGTGGGCTTCTTAAAGAGGAACTGTCACTTCTCAAGGGGTTTAATGTTATGTTTACTTATCCCTATATTTAACAAATATATGTTTGTGAGGTGTGAAAAATAAAATGAAATATAGAAATCCACACCTCATTATCTTGCACGTGTTTACTTCCAGCTGGGTACCTCCATCTTAGTTCCCTTCGCTCCTTATAATTGTTATGAACGCTATCATACCTGGTAGTCAGAATAGAGAAAGGAACAAAGAAGAGACAAAATTAAACAAATGTTTCTGTTTCTCCTTTTTATTTGCAATGTTTGAGCTCGCTTTGCCCTGAATGAACTTATTTTATGATGTATTTTGCTGAATAGTTAAAGAAACACTATAGGCATCCAAACCACTTCTCAATTCTGTTCTGCAGGAATGTTTTTATTGCAGGGTTAACCTGCCTCTAGTTTCTGTCAATATGACAGCCATTAGAGACCCTCCCATAAAATAGCAGAGTAAAGCTCTGCTATTTTAGTCAGCTGGTCTCAGAACACCATGTGATTAGCACATCACACTTGCCTTCCAATCATTTTGTGTGGGAAAGCATTGGACATTGAGGTGGAGCTATACAGAGGAGACGGGCACTGCAAGGGCTAAAATTTAAATAAAGCATCTTTTTAACTGGCAGATAAATACACAAAGTCAGAGGCAGACAGTTTCAGACACAGTCACAGGCAGAAAGTCGCACACACACACACAGTCACAGGCACACAATCACACACACAGTCACTGGCCGAGAGTCACACATAATCAGATGCAAAAAGACACACACAGGCACACAGAAGGCAGATACTCACACACAGTCACAGGCAGAAAGTCACACACAGTTACAGTCAGACAGTCACAAACAGTCAAAGGAAGACAATCACACAAACACACAGTTACAGGCAGATAGTCATGCACACAGTTAAAGGTTGAACACACAGTTACAGGCAGACAGTAATACACAAATAATAATATAATAATACAGTAAGACAGTAATAATAATGTTCAGGCCGCACTTAACTCCACCCCAGCTAAAAATCCCTTGCAACAAATTTAGCCCCGTCCTGCCTCATATTTAGCTCTGCACCCGCCTCCCCAGCATTTGAAACTCTACACAGCTTGCACACCGTTATATAGAATACGTGCACCAGCTTTTCATGTGAAGCAACACAGACAGACAGAAACAGTGCATGTTGATTGAAACATTAAAAAAATTATAATAATGATTTTATTATATATATATTATTAAAAAACTTACAACTCTAGGTACCAAATTAAAGAAACTAAAAATATACAGAATGAGGTAACTATGGTGTTTTGTCATGAAATTGTTTTATTTTATTTGTTTTGTTTTTTCTTTTAGTTTGTTTCGATGTTTCCAAATCTAGCATTACTAGGCTTCAAGCATTTACATACAAGATCACTTTAGTGATTTATATACACTTTGAGGTTTTTTAAAATAAGATAGTGTGTTTACACTCATTTTTAATTGTATTTAAAGACACAGCACACCTATATTCACATCCTTACTACATAAATGCTAGTTAACATTTTATTTATGATGTGTCAAAAAAGCAAACAAAAAAATAAATTTCAGTTGGTTTAGACAAATTACCGCTCATCAAATTTGTACAGAATGATAATGTCTAATGTGTTCATGGCTGTTGTGCTCATTAGTATTTGAAAGCTCTCAGGTATAAACATTTGCAACTCTGTATGGGTACATAAAATTGTCTGTGGCCATGCTTTCTGTTTTTCTCATTCCTTAGGGACTGCAAAGAGCATCTGGTGTTATGTGTCAGGAAAGGCTTCTTTTAATAGCTCTTGCATAGTTTTTGTTTAAATGCAAGCCTACAGATACCACTGCATTGTTGAGGGAATTTTTATTTGTATCTATAAATATGGGGATTTTTTTCCTGTTTTTTAGCTTTTCAAAGCACAGGTTCTGAATTGATGGCATTACTTAACAATAAGACTTACTTCTCATCTATTACCTAAAGTGACACACAAAAGCTGTCTGTGTCCCAGACTGGAACTAATTCTAAGAGTGATTGTGTCAGAGGAAGGCATCCAGTTTATTATCAACAGACATAAGCAATTAAAATCATGTATAGACAAAAACAAGTAAACCAATACAAGTTGGGAGACCAATAGGTTAAACATCAGGTCTTCAAAATGGCTCTAGGGCTTTGGTTGCAAAAACCTTTGATTATAGAGCATTGAATAAAAAGACACCATTTAGTGGTCAGTCTACTGTTAACTCCCCCAAGACAATAACCTCTGACACTGTAGTGATAGGAATTCCTGCTGTGAATACAGAATATAGTTTGCATATACTGTATAATTTGGAGATGAAGGGGATATTTATAAAGGCAAAACAGGTGCCATTTTGGATGCAAAGTGCTTAATACTGAGAGACATTCTAATGGCTTCCATGGTGATTTCTTCTTATTTATCCCCAGAATAGCACCTGATTTTGCCTTAATTAATCTTCTCCGCATGTAGCAAACTTTTTAAATTGAAGTGTTCTCAAATATTAAAAGATATGATAGGCTACTACTAGGCTGAATTTGATGATCAGCTCTTCTAAAAAACACATGAGACAATATATCTGACTGACCATATGATTTTGATGCATGTGTGTAAGTAAGAGCACACTTAAAGAGCACCTGAATGACAATGCTACATATTACAGGCAGTGCTAGAGTCCTGCAGGAATGCTTGGGAATGTCGTTCCTGCACTTTTTTTAGCAGGAACTTTTTTAAAGCCATAAAAGCTGTCCAATATCCTGTTCCCTTACTGGGCCTGTGGCTGGGTAGTTATATATCAATGGTGGTTGATTATTTGGTATGTGTCTTGTTGGGCAGGAGTATGTATCTAAGTATATGTCTTGTGAGGTAATGACAGCTTAAAACTGAACAGGTGAATGTGGATAAGTAGTGGTAGGGTCAGTGACAACTGACACCCACAACCTGTGGATAGATGCTGGGGTTAGCATGTCCCCCCATAATAAATCTAATAGGCCCCACCCTCGCTGTCAGTGCGTGAGAATATGTAGAGAACATTAGATAGTCTTTCAATGTTCTTTTATTAAGTAGCCCCCACCTACTGGCCTAATAGATCAAGTTGGTGCAGGAGACATTGCTTACCTAGATTTCAGTAAGGCTTTTGACACTGTCACACATAGAAGGCTTATGAATTTTTGAGTTTTTAATCCAATATTGTTGAATGGGTTAAGTAGTGACTTAGTGACAGGCAACAGAGAGTTGTAGTCAATGTAGTATATTTGAAGCAAGGTGAGTGGGGTACCTCAGGCATGGGCCCCACTTGGACCCATTCTCCTCAATATTTTTTATGAATGACGGTAAAGTATGTCTTTTTGCTGACACAAAGATTTGCAACAGGGTTGATGTTCCAGGGGGGATAAGCCTAATGGCAAATGATTTAGGTAAACTAGAAAAATGGTGAGCGCTATGGTAATTGACATTTAATGTGGATAAGTGCAAAATTATGCATCTTAGGTGTAAAAATCCTAGGGCAGAGTACAGAATATTTGATACAGTCCTTACCTAGAGACGGCCTCTATGGCTGAGATCATCAAGCTTTATGATCTCAGCCAATCCGCACTGACACAGGAAGCACCTCTAGGGACCGTCTGAGTGTCTGTCACTAGAGGTGTCACTAGGAAGCAATGTAAACACTGCCTTTTCTCTGAAAAGTCAGTGTTTACATTGAAAAGCCTGCAGGGATAGGCTATAGACACCAGAACCACTACATTAAGCTGTGTGTGTGTGTGTGTGTGTGTGTGTGTGTGTGTGTGCGCCTGCTAGTGAGTGAGCTTGCTTGCATGTGTGTGTGTGTGTGTGTGCCAGCTAGTGAGTGAGCTTGTGTTTTTATGTCAATGAGCTTGTGTGTGTCAGTGAGATTGTCTGTGTCTGCATGTGAGTATGCTTACTGTATAATTAAATGTTTTACTCTGAAAGGACCAATATTTTATATTAGAACAAGCAATATATATTTGAGATATATATATATATATATATATATATTACTCAATCATCTGGGGTGGCAAGACATAGCCTTACATATTACATGCAACAAGAGTTTTTATCTAGGGCTGCTTTGTATCCCCAGACCGGCCCTGTCCTTACCTCAAGACCTGAGGAAAGGGATTTATGAGTAATTATTTCAGATGACTTAAAGGTAGGCAGACAATGTAATAGAGGGAATGCTAGCAGAATGTTTGGTTGTATAGGGAGAAGTATTAGCAGTAGAAAGAGGGAAGTGCTAATTCCATTGTACAGAACACTGGTGAGACTTCCCTTGGAGTATTGTATGCAGTACTGAAGACCATATCTCCAGAAGGATATTGTTACTTTTAAAAGAGATCAGTGCAGAGCTACTAAACTGGTTCATAGATTGCAGGGTAGACTATGGAGGAAACTATCTACCCTTAATACTGGACACTATAATTGTATTGAATTTTAACCCCTTGCATATTTTTAAACTATATATCTCTAACCACCATTTCTTTGTCATTGTATCTTAACTGGACGTGCTTGCTCTTTAGTGTGTATGTGTGTGTATATATATATATATATATATATATATATATATATATATATATATATATATGTGTGTGTGTATATATATATATATATATATATATATATATGTGTGTGTGTGTGTTTGCTCATACACACATATATTCTGCAGTTTGTCTTGTCCTGCATGCTAAAGCTAGTTGCTCCCTGCCCTGCTCAACATTGGTTTTGTTAACTTAAATGTTATTCAACATCCTGCTTATCTCTAAAGATTTTCTCTGTTATTTCTTCACCCCCCCCCTTATTTTATTGATACCCACCCGAATGTCTTGCTTGACCAATCCTCACCTCCTCTGTGCATCTCCATTCTATAGCTTTTATTGCAGTCCTGTTTTGACTTTATCATCTCTGTCTTCCACAGTCTGAGTTTTAAAAGACCACTTCTAGCAAACCTGAACAGTGCTCAGCCCACTCCTTTAAGAATTGCCGTCATCTATCGCCCCCCCCGGTCACCCTAAACTATTCATTTAACACTTTTCCTCCTGGTTACCCCACTTTCTTTCCTCTAGCACTCCCTCTCTCATACTTGGGGACTTCAATATCCCTATCAACAAGCTCAATTGCCCTGATGCCTCTCGTCTGCTCTCTGTAACCTCCTCCTTTGGACTCACACAGATTTCTTCCTCAGCAACTCACACCGCAGGAAACACTCTTGACCTCATCTTCACCAATCTCTGTACCACCTGTGATCTCGCCACTGCTCCATTTCCTTTGTCTGACCACCATCTGCTAACATTTAACATCTGCATACCCCATATCAAAATCTCACCACCATCCACTCTTCAACCTCGCAGAAACCTCAACTCTCTCGATCTCCAGCACTTCTCCACTAAACTCCAAACACTCCTTTTACCCATCTCAAATCACAACTGCCCTAACTCTGCAAACTCACTCTACAACTCCACTCTCTCCTCTCAACTTGACATCATGGCACCTCCTACAGTTAAACGCAGCAAGCGCCCCCAACTACAACCCTGGCACACCAAGCTGACCCATTACCTCCAAAAATGTTCCAGAACTGCTGAACGCTGCTGGAGAAAGTCTCACTTTGCATCTGACTTTGTCCACTATAAATTTATGCTGCGCTCCTACAGCATGGCTCTTTCCTCTGCAAAAGTAAGCTACTTCAACACCCTCATAAGCACACTGTCCCACCAACCCAAACACCTGTTTCACACTTTTGATGCACTTCTTTGCCCTGTGACTCCCCCTGCTTCCACAACCTTGACCGCCACAAACTTTGCATCTCATTTCACTGAGAAGATCTCTACAATCAGGTAAGAGATCTCTAATCTTTCTTCAACCAGTATCAATACATCACCCAACCCCACTCCCCCTGCCATCCTAAGCTCATTTGCACCTGCTACAGCACAGGAGGTTTCTGCTCTGCTCCTGTCCTCCCGCCCCACCACCTGCTCCCTCGATCCTATTCCCTCGCATCTCATCCACACTTTGTCTCCCTCTCTTGCTCTTCCTCTCGCTAACATTTTCAATCTCTCCCTTTCCTCTGGCACATTTCCCTCTGCCTTCAAACATGCAACCGTAACCCCAATTCTGAAAAAGCCCAACCTTGATCCCAACTCCCCATCCAACTACCGCCCTATCTTGCTACTGCCATTTGCCTCCAAGATCCTCGAGAGAGTTGTCTACGCCAGATTGACAGACTTTCTTGAAACCAACTCTCTGCTTGACCCCCTTCAGTCTGGATTCCGCGCTGGTCACTCTGTCGAAACTGCTGTGACCAAAGTATCCAATGATTTAATTGCTGCTAAATCTCGCGGCCAATACTCTATCCTAATCCTCCTTGATCTTTCTGCTGCCTTTGACACTGTTGATCATCAACAGCTTCTTCACATTCTCCGTAACTTTGGTCTACGGGATTCTGCTCTCTCCTGGTGCTCCTCCTACCTCTCCCAGCGCTCCTTCAGTGTTTCTTTCTCTGGCTCTGCCTCTTCTCCCCAACCCCTCCCTGTCGGCGTCCCCCAAGGTTCTGTCCTCGGCCCTCTACTGTTCTCTATCTATACTGCCTCCCTTGGTAAACTCATCAGCTCTTTTGGCGTCCAATACCATTTATATGCAGATGACACGCAAATCTACCTGTCCTCCCCTGATCTCTCTCCGCCCACCTTGTCTCGTGTTTCTGACTGCCTCTCTGCTATTTCCAACTGGATAGCTGCTCACTTCCTTAAACTCAACCTGTCCAAAACAGAACTTCTAGTTTTTCCTCCCTCAAGTGCTGCTACTCCTGTGTCTGTCGCCATCCAAGTCAACGGCGCTACTATCACCTCTACCTCCCAGGCTCGCTGCCTAGGAGTTCTTTTTGATTCTGATCTCTCTTTTACTCCCCATGTTCAATCGATAGCCAAATCCTGTCGCTTCCAACTCAAGAACATAGCGCGCATCCGCCCATATCTAACGCCGGACGTGGCTAAGGTACTGGTTCATGCTGTTGTTCTCTCTCGCCTTGACTATTGCAATCCCCTTCTCACCAGTCTTACATGTTCCCAGCTTGCACCGCTGCAATCTATAATGAATGCGGCTGCGAGGCTAATTTTCCTGTCCGGTCGCACCTTCCACGCCTCCACGCTCTGTCAGTCTCTGCATTGGCTTCCAGTTAGATTTAGGGCCTAATTCAAAATTCTGGCGCTTGCTTACAAATCCCTACACAATGCTGCTCCAACATACCTATCCTCCCTCATACACAAGTATGTCCCGTCGAGACCCCTTGCGCTCAGCCCAAGACCTACTCCTATCCTCTGCCCGGATCCCCACCTCTGATGCTCGCCTTGAAGACTTCTCCAGGGCTGCACCTATTCTGTGGAACTCCCTTCCCTCCTCAATCAGACTTTCACCCAGCCTCGATTCCTTCAAAAAATCTTTGAAAACTCACTTCTTCATTAAAGCGTATCAATTAAACTGTCAGCAGTTTTCTCATCCCCCACCCCATGACTCCGTTCCTTCACCTGTCAAAAATGACCTACCAAGCACTTAATAAACCCTTCTGTAACAAACTATTTAATTCCCCTACTTTCAGAGAAACTGCTATGTTTATAATAGGGTTAATCCAGCCTCTAGAGCCTCTAGTGGCTGTCTCATTGACAGCCGCTAGAGGCGCTTGCGTGCTTCTCACTGTGAAAATCACATTGAGAAGATGCTTGCGTCCATAGGAAAGCATTATAAATGCTTTCCTATGAACTGGCTGAATGCGCGCACGGCTCCTGCCACGCATGCGCATTCAGCCGATGACGTCACTATGAAGGAGGAGAGGAGAAGGAGAGCTCCCCGCCCGGCGCTGGAGAAAGGTAAGATTTCAACCCCTTCCTCTCCCCAGAGCCTGGCGGGAGGGGGACCCTGAGGGTGGGGGCAACCTCAGGGCACTATAGTACCAGGAAAACAAGTATGTTTTCCTGGCACTATAGTGGTCCTTTAACATAAATAGCATGGAGGAAAGATGAGACAGGGGGGATATGATAGAAACATTTAAATACATAAAGGGAATCAACACAGTAAAAGAGGGGACTATATTTAAAAGAAGAAAAACTACCACAAGAAGACATGGTCTTAAATTAGAGGGGCAAAGGTTTAAAAATAATATCAGTGAGCATTACTTTACTGAGAGGGTAGTGAATGCATGGAATAGCCTTCAAGCTGAAGTAGTAGAGGTTAACACAGTGAGGAAATTTAAGATATAAGATAAGGCCAGGGACTAATAAAAGTATTTTGAAAATTGGGCAGACTTTATGGGCCAAATGGTTTTTATCACATTCTATGTTTCTATGTAATAGTATAAAGTATTTGATCCCCTGCTGATTTTGAACATTTGCCCATCTGTGGAGGGAGCTCAAAGGTTCGATTTGCTAAACATCAGCCTTGAAACATTAGTGACTTGAAGAGGGACAAAATCCCTCCTGAGATGTGTGCAAAAAGTGGGACAAAATCCCTCCTGAGATGTGTGCAAACCTGGTGGCCAACTACAGGAAAAGTCTAACCTCTGTGATTGCCAACAAGGGTTTTGCACCAAGTACTAAGTCAAAGGGGTCAAATACTTATTTCACTCATTGACATGCAAATCAATTTATAACATTTTTCTGGATTTTTCTTTATTCCATCTCTCACTGTTAAAATACACCTACCATTAAAATTATTGACTGATCTTTCCTTTGACAGTGGGCAAACGTTCAAAACCAGCAAAGGATCAAATACTTTTTTACCTCACTGTATAACAGCAATTATTTGGTGAGGAGTTGCCCTATGGACAAGTCTCTGCTAAGTAGGGTGAATATGACTAAGACAGATAGGTAGTG